ATACTGAGCCCTGGGGAACACTGCTTGTGGTAAGCCGCAACTGGATGTAAGTCCAACCACCACAGCTCTCTGGGCCTGCCCATCTAGCCAGTTTTTTACTGAGCGAAGAGTATGCCTGTCCATGCCATGAGCAGCCAGTTTTTCCAGAAGAATGCTGTGTGAAATGGTGTCAAAGGCTTTACTAAAGTCTAGGTGGACAACATCCACAGCCTCTTCCTCATCCACTAAGCGGGTTACCTTGTCATAGGAGGAGATCAGGTTAGTCAAGCAGGACCTGCCTTTCATAAACCCATGCTGCCTGGGCCTGGTCACCTGGTTGTCCTGTTCATGCTGTGTGATGGCACTCAGGATGATCTGCTCCAGAACCTTCCCTGGCACCGAGGTCAGGCTGACAGGCCTGTAGTTCCCCAGATCCTCCTTCTGGTGCTTCTTGTAGATGGGTGTCACATTTGGTAACCTCCAGTCAACTGGGACCTCCCTGGTTAGCCAGGACTGCTGATAAAGGATGGGAAGTGGCTCAGTGAGCACTCCTGCCAGCTCCCTCAGTACCCTTGGGTGGATCCCATCTGGCCCCATAGACTTGTGTGTGTCTAAGTGGTGTGGCAGGTCACTAACTGTTTCCCCTTGGATCATGGGGGCTTCATTCTGCTCCCCATCCCTGTCTTCCAGCTCACTGGGCTGGGTACCCAGGGAACAACTGGTCTTGCTATTAAAGACTGAGGCAAAGATGGCATTAAGTACTTCAGCCTTTTCCTCATCCTTTGTCACTATGTTTCCCCCCGCATCCAATAAAGGGTGGAAATTCTCCTTAGCCCTCCTTTTGTTGCCAATATATTTATAGAAACATTTTTAATTGTCTTTTACGGCAGTAGCCAGATTAAGTTCTAGTTGGCCCTTCTAATTTTCTGCCTGCCTAACCTCATAACATCCTTGTAGTCCTCCTGAGTTGCCTGCCCCTTCTTCCAAAGGTCATAAACTCTCCTTTTTTTTCCTGAGTTCCAGCCGAAGCTCTCTGTTCAGCCAGGCTGGTGGTCTTCCCTGCCAGCTCATCTTTGAGGGGACGGCCTGCTCCTGCACCTTTAAGTTTTCCTTCCTGAAGAATGTCCAGCCTGCCTAACCTCATAACATCCTTGTAGTCCTCCTGAGTTGCCTGCCCCTTCTTCCAAAGGTCATAAACTCTCCTTTTTTTTCCTGAGTTCCAGCCGAAGCTCTCTGTTCAGCCAGGCTGGTGGTCTTCCCTGCCAGCTCATCTTTGAGGGGACGGCCTGCTCCTGCACCTTTAAGTTTTCCTTCCTGAAGAATGTCCAGCCTTCCTGGGCTCCTTTGCCCAGGACTGCCTCCCAAGGGACTCTGTCAAGCAGGCCCATAAACAGGCCAAAGTCTGTCCTTAGGGAGTCCAAGGTGGCAGTTCTGCTGACCCCTCTCCTCACTTCTCCAAGAATCAAAAACTCTGTAATTTTGTGATCGCTGTGCCCAAGACGGCCTCCAACTGTCACATCACCCATGAGTCCTTCTCTGTTGGAAAACAACAGGTCCCTCACCAGCTGTGTCAGGAATGATCTTCCACACACTCCAGGAACCCCTGAGACTGTTGCCTGTCTGCTGGATGTGAGCACGTCAGACTTGTCTCAGAATTTGAAGTTGGCAAAACCCAAATTCCTGCAAAAAACTGAAGGTCCAGGTCCAAGTTCTGTTATGAAAGCTGTGCAGAAAGGGTAGCAGAGCAAATGGTGTGCATAAAAGGCAAAGTCCCATTCCTAGTTTATAGGAGTTTTCCTAATAAGTCTGAAAATCTGTTTTTAGGGGATGCTGGTATTTGCATATATTAAGAACACTAAATTAGGCCTAGATTCATGTGTTTGCTCAGATATGCCCATGGTATATAATCAGTCGAGCAGGACCTAACAATCTAAAGGATTATTAGTAATACGGTAAGAAAATAAAAACAATGCCTCCATTGTCTTTTTATGCTTGTTGGCCTTTGAAGTCCAGTAGTAGCAGTTTTTGCTCACAGTTACTGCAGAGCATTTCAGTGCCCGTAGCAGAGCGTGTGGGGAGGAGATGCGTAGCCCAGATCTTCCAGGGGGTTTTGCTACCCGGGTCGGGAGGGCTGTGAGGTGACATGGGGCCCCGGCTCAGCCCTGGGGATGGTGTTGGTCTGCATGAGGGCCATCTGCTGGAGGCTGCCGAAGGAGCCCTGCAGCCCTTCACTGTCTCTGAACTTTTTAGGAGGATGAACACCTGATGTAAATCCTTTATTGTGGGTGTTCTTGCTGCCTCCTTCTGAATGGTGACATTTTCATTGTCTGTCTTCCTCAGATGAGTCAAGATCAAACAGTGGGGAAGGATGGAAGAAAGGGGTAATGGTTGGGTGTCTCATTGGTGAAGCAGCTGAGATTGTTGAGAATGGTGATCCCTTCCCAAAAAGTCAATGCCTCCTGCATTGATCCTTATCTGCCTCCCCACCCTCCATGTAATCTGTGTTGTCTTGGGGTATTTAAATTGCTCATTTCTGGAGTCCTGGCAGGTGTCCCCCCTTATTGCACTGTAGGAAAACTGCTTTGCTCTCCAGTGTCACTTCTTGGGAACTTATCCTTGGTGCAGAGGGGTAAGGCTGTACCTACTGACGGTCTTGGACTGGCACAAGTCTTCTATAAAGTGGAAAATAGCTGTCCCATGGAGTATCTTCTTGGCAGCTTTTTATCTAGGTTTCATAAGCAGTTTTCTATCGACTATACCCGGTTAAGTGTCATTCAGATGCTTTTCTGTTTCTACAGGATAATACCATTGATTTTCTGGAATATGTAGCTGCCTTGAATCTTGTTTTACGAGGAAAACTGGAACACAAGCTGAGGTGGACATTCAAAGTATATGACAAGGATGGGAATGGCTGCATAGATAAACCTGAGCTGCTGGAAATTGTTGAGGTAAGTAGGCATTGCCTCATCACTTATTTAAGCAATCACAGTTCTTTGGCAATGTAATGATGTATATGGTTTTTGTGATAATCAGGTTTCAAGGCAGCTGTGGGCAGTGATGAAGTGAAAATGCCTGACCTTGGTGAAAGGGTCATGTGCTCAGTGGTTTGGTGGAGCCTGATGGGGTGGCTGAGGGATCAGTTAAACCCCCTGCGGGCAGCCTGGCCTCTGCTGCTGAAGCTGTCCAGAAATGCAGCATCTGGGTGCTGTTGTGGAGTTCCTGTATCTCTGTTCTGCCTTTCCTTTCAACCTTTTTACACCAAGATTCATTGCAGTGGCCAGTGGAAGAGGGTTTCACCCCATGCGCCTTACAGGAGCCAAGTTTTCTGCCTGAGTAGCTGGTGAGAATACCAAGAGGCACAAATTAGTACAGAAATCCCTTTTGTAATTCTTCCTTTCTGTTATGTTCTGCACTTTGTTTTAATTAGTGTCTTTGTGAAGGTGTGAGAGGAGGCATGGGCCTTAGAAACAGTCAGACATGGAGTTCCTGGGTTCTTAGTTTAGGTAAATATCTTGGTGATTGTGCTAGAGTCACCCCTGCACCCCAGGTGCTGTTACCCTTGCACAGCAGTACTTCTGAGGCTTAATCAATGGTTATCAAACCCTTTAGGACCTTAGGTGAAATGCAATATCAAGAAAACATCAGAAATCGAATCTGTGGAAAGCAAGTCCTTTTGGCTGGGAAGTGTGACCAGCTTGTTACCTGCAGCACCAGCAGCAGGTGAGAGAGCATCTGTGGAGCTTGTCTGGGGCAGGTTCAACTATAGTTTTGAGGTCAGCTAGGAATTGGCCAGAGCTGTATTAGGCCCTTGCTAATCCCCTCTCTGGGAAGACTTCAGACAAAACCCTTCAGCCTAAGGAGTAAAGTTAAGTTAATAATGAACAGATGGTTGTCATGGGAGGAATAGGTAAAATCTGCCCCTCTCCACTGACAAAGTGGAACAGAAACTAGGGGTCAAAATGTGTGCTAATACAGGTTTGATCTTGCAGCTTGGGCACAAGTTCCCTGGGAGAGAGAGGGCTGGGTAAGTCCAGATGTGCCTGGCCTCAGATGTTAAAAAAAAAAATTATACTCAAAAGTCAGATGATTTTCCCATCTGTGAAACTTGTGCCTTGTTCTTTGCAAAGGAACCCTGAGGTCTGACCAATATGTGAAAGGAAAATAGGAGAGCAGCAGCTTCAAAGAGCAAATGAAGTAATCTGCAGTGTGTGCGCATAAGGTCGGAGGTTTCATTAAAGGTCTGAGGCTGTTAAGTGGCAGACCTTTCTAGAAAGGTTAAAACCACAGCCTTTGTGAAAGACCTTTACACAGTTGGGAAGATGATGGAGTTCACCACTGCTTTTCATGTCTAGTCCTTCTCCTAATCTGTGAATTTCTTTTCAGTCTATCTACAAGCTGAAGAAAGCGTGTCGGTCGGAGGTGGAGGAGAGGACTCCATTGCTCACGCCGGAGGAGGTTGTGGACAGGATATTTCAGCTAGTGGATGAGAATGGGGATGGTAAGTGATCGATGGCTCAGATTGCATTCATGCGTAATGAGAAGTTATCTGTGCTGGGCAGGCTAGCTTTAATTACATCTATCAAGAAATCGCTTAGAACTATTATGTTACTCATATTAGACACATTGGGTTTCGTTCTGGTCTGTTTGTTAGAATCAAGAGTAACTTGGTGCAGCAGGAGGAAATAATTTTCATTGTGTTTTTTAATGTAAAATACAGAGGGGTCACTATTCCATCTGGATTTTGATGCCACACAGATCTCATCCTCTGAAAGCCTCCAGTAGCCAGAATGCAGGTCCCAGTCCCAGCACAAATAGCCTGAGTAAAGTCAGTGGCTCTAGTCACATTGGAGCTTGCAGGATCAGACTTGCAATCCTCCTGGAGGAGCATGTGTAAGCTAATGCAACATTTCATGTTAGCCGATGGGATGGGGTAGGTGTGAATGCATTGGGTCACAGCATGGTGGTTTGTCTTTCAGCTAGCTGGCCTAAACTACATGGGGAAATGAAGTATAGCTTTTGTCTTATTAGCATATTTTCTGACATACAGATAGTTTTTACTTCCTGCCTTCTTCTTCTTGTCTTATCTGTCATGTTTTGTCTCCCCATCTTGTGTCCTCCTCATCTCATACACAGGGCAATTGTCTCTTGATGAGTTCATTGATGGCGCCAGGAAAGACAAGTGGGTGATGAAGATGCTGCAAATGGATGTAAACCCTGGGGGATGGATCTCTGAGCAGAGGAGAAAGAGTGCTTTGTTTTGAGAAAATTCAGGTTTGATACAGCTGAAAATGTGATGCTGCCTACAACTGTGGCTCTCTTACTCTGGGCTGGTGGACTAAGCATCCAGATGAAAACTTCAGTGGTTTAAGAAGCCATATCTCAATCTAAACCCCATGTGCTGCATACTGCTGGTACCCAGAGACTGTTTTTGGCCCATGAATAAGTCTTTCTGTGTACACAATACCATGTTTGCCAGCTCTGGTTTTTGGTTACACCCCAAGGAACAAACTTTTCGTGGCTTCCTGGAGCAGATCCTGGGCAGGGTTTTATTCTGATGACAGACAGGATCGGGAAGTGAGAAATCCTGATGCAATGGTACCGTCTCCAGTGCAGACTAGTGTTTGCATCATTCATGCCTGCAGAGATATAAACACATCAAACAAAAAGTGACAACAAAAGAGGTGCTCTGGCAGGCTTTATACATCCCGGAGGTCTGTACTACTAAATAGTAGGCTGTACTACTGCTAATGTAAAATTACTGAACATATCGCTATCGAAAATGAGAATTGGACTATAAACGGTAGCTGAGACAGTACACAGAGTTGAGGAAAACATAATGCGTGGGCTGGACAGGTGGAGCAGTAACTCTTTGCATCTCCCTCCTGTGGACCGGAGTCTGCTCCTTCTACCTGTTCAGAGACCTGGCTTTCTGTGGGGCTGGAAAAATGCTATTTCCAAACACTGAGCAGCAGTAGAAATTGTACCTCTTCTGACAGCCACATTTAGAGGATGGATTTGCACAAGTGTGATTCTGCTCCTTTTGATCCCCTTTTTCTTACTGAATCATCATTCTAGAACAGCTTTTCCTGCCCTATGAAGACTGACTGAGCTCAAGGAGCTCCAGGACTTTCACTGCACTGGGAGAAGCTTTGTGTGGAAGGAGAGATAAGGGAAGAGCAGAGTTTTGCTTGGCAGCATCTCTGCAGTGAGAGGATTAGTGCTGCTTTATTGGCAGGACCACAGAATGGAACAAGTGACAGAAAATCTGAGTTACTGAAGTAGTACAGTGGTTTTACATTGGACTTAGTTTAGCCACAGACTATAGATATAAAATTTGCGCAGGTTGTAGGCTGAGCTCTGCTATTCTAACCCATATTCCTACATATATACACGTATGTGGAAAGAGAATTTGGCTTGAACCAATATTTTGGTTCACCTTTGTTGGATTTATTTATTGGTTTTTTTGCAAGAAAAATTTCTGCAGGAAAATAACATGAATTTTTGTCTTATTTTAGTTTTCCCTCGGGATCAGTGGGCCGAGTCACATCCATGAAAAGATTTGCAATCCCTTTTTTGTGGCCTTTAATTATGACTGTAGTATCTTTCATTAGTTGATTAGTTTGCTGGTTTGTGGTCTTGTCAATTTAGCTGATGTTTAAATTCAGGAACATGAGGAAGTATTCAGGGTAAGACACAGTCAGTACTAGAATTCAAATCCATATGTTTCCACTTCTAAATAGCCTTTCTAAGAGTTTTCTGTAAATACACACTCACTTGTGGCATGCTTACTTATCAGTGCAGATTAGACTTACAGTTTATGCTGCTGTAAGGCAGCTGTTTAGACCTCATTCAAGTCAATAGCTTATCAGCCAAAGATCTGAAAGAAAAATCGTACTTCTGACTTGAGGGCCTGGAAGAAAAGATTCACTTTACTGATTTTCCAACTTGTGGACAAATGTTTTCATGAGAGGATACAAATCTCTAATTCCTTAAATTTCAGCACCTCAACTAACATAACTCTGCTTCTTGCACAATTTTAAAGTGGATGTTTACTTACTATAGCTGCATACTGCAGTTTTACTTAAATGCTTTAAATTTTCTTACTCTGTTCACCTGGCCAGATCAGCACTGAAGGAGCAGCAGTCCTCTGCTGGGGTGGTAGAGGGCATCCTAACACTGAGCACTTGTACACCTGGTGGTAGAAATTTTGTAACACGAATTCAATAAAGAATTATTTATTAAAATTCTGTTTTGTAGTATTTCTTTTTCACTTGGAATGAAGGTGAAGATCTGTGTAAGCACCTGAGTATTGGACCAAAATTGCAGTCTTGAGACTGACAATGAATTCAAGGGAGTTAAGTGTAACAGCTCACCTGGGTAAGACAAATATAAGGCAGAGATGGTGATGCTATTGCAGATGCAGAGTAGGAAAGGAGTGTCTTCTGTTTAACTTCTGTGTAATGATGGTGGAAAGCATGTGTATAGTAAAATAAAACAATCTTCTGAATGGAATTTGAAACAGTTGCTTACAATAAAGTGAGCTGACAGTGCTGCAATGAGATGGCCCCTGCCAGGACTGAAACAGGAACCTTGAAGAACGTAGGGCTCAAAGTAAAGTGCTGGGCTTGGCAGCATGATGCCTCCGCATCCTCTGGCCTGGGCAGACCTCAGGTGGTAGTGGTGCACATGGTGGGTAATGCTTGTGTAGGGCTGGCATAACCCAGTGGAAAATTGTTCCTCTTATCAATTGTGTAATCTTTTGCCAAGAAATCGCAAGGTGCTTTAGTCTTAGTCCTATTTTTAAATCTGCAGGTATAAACACTTTGATCTCCTCCCAAACTCAATTCAGCATTCACATCAAGCTGTTGATGTCAGACATTTTGCATAATCCATTTTTCCAGACTTACAGCCCAGCTAGAATTGGATTTGACTGATCGGATTTCTTTTTAGTCTAAATTGGGAAACAGGATGGCTTGGAAAAGGCAAATGCTGTGTGATTTTTCTGAGCTTCTACCATCTGCTCTGATGTTTGATGCCTCCGAAGTTGGGTAGGATTGAAGGTGAAATAATCATGTTAGAAAGCTGAAGGTGAGGCTGTGGCTGATGGGGAGAGGGAACAGGAGCCAAAGGAGGCATCGCATCCTAAAACGCTCTGGAAGGTGCATTCCCAGGGAAAGCACTGAGCAGTAGAAATAATGAGGCGGAGAAGGAAAGAGGATAATTACATCTAACTCTATGCTTAGCCATGCTCTTTATTTGTCTGTACACCTGATGTTCTGAGAGGGGAGGTTCACCTGTGGGTAGCTGGGGTTTGGTGGCTGCCAGAGGAAAGACTTGTGTCCAGGTCATTCCCAAAGCACCCATGTGCAGCTCCCCTTGAAAATGTTGTGTTGAAAAACAGAGTGGCTATGCCAGGACTTACACAGCCCCATGCTGATCGCTGTAGGGACTTTTTGTGGTCTCACCATACTCGGTCATTGTCTCACAGCACCCGTGCTCAGCTCTGGCAGTATGGGAAAATACTTCTTTCTTTCTTTCCTCCTCCCTCTCTGCAAAGGAAGGTGCACCTCAGAAGTTTAGAAAGTATCTCAAACGTGTTACCATATTTAAGGTAATATAATGGTATTCTGGGATCTGATGCATGATATGGGAACACTGGAGCTGTGCTGTAGGGCAGCTGCATCCCCTGGGGATAAGGGACCTTGAGAAGCATCTGGCTGAGAACCTGTTTTGTTTCATTTCTCTGCCTTTTAGGCCTCACACCCTAACGCACAGGGATGCAAAAGGAGATATTTTTGCAATTTGCCATCGTCCGTTCCTAAGCTCACCATCTCGCTTCTCTTTGATTTTGCTGTCTAGGAGCCCCTTGGCTCAATTCCCCGCGGGTTCCCAGGATTCCCGAGCGCTGCTCCTCCGCAGAGCGAGGTGCCTCCGCAGGGCTCCCCCCGAGGGACGGGGCAGCCCCGGCTCCGCAGGGCGAGCGGCACCGGGCGGGCGGGCAGGTACCGTCACAGAGGGATGGCAGAGCCCCCGGCTGGGCTCCCCTGCTGCGGAGAGCGTATGAAAGGACAAAGCGCTGCTCGACATCCTCTCTCCAAAGCTGGGCTGGAAAGGCCCTGAGCAGCCCAGCTTCCAGGTTAGCCCTGCTGGCGGCAGGACGCAGGCGCAGACCCCACCTAAGACTCCTCCCAACCTCAAACGGTCCATGGATTTCTGCATCCCTCAAAAGGCAGATGTGCATTGCAGCTTTTACCGTGTTTTGGCACCTAAACCCCACTGAGATAAATGGCATGGTGCTGCCGAAAGTCACTCACTGGGCGGCTTTAGCGTAGCTGCAACTCTTCTTAACAAACCTGGCTCCAGGGACTTGTCCCGGCTCACTGCAAAGGGGAGGCAGAGCCGGGACCGACCTCAGACCTGGTGCTGCAGCCTCGCAGGCCCATCGCCCCTCTGATGGCAGCTCCCCAAAAAAGCCTCTCCCACGCTCACCAGAGAGGCTGTGCTGCCTCTCATTCACCAGTGACACTGTCACAAGAGTGAGCAATGCATCCGTGGCTGGCACATGAACAGCCGCCACTATTTTGAAATAAATCCATTATGCATGAGTTAGGGCAAAGAGAGTCACAATATTAGTTTTTAATTATTTTTAATTTGCTTTCTTAGAGGCTGAAAAAACATCCTTTGGAGAGAGATGCTGAGGTTTGAAAGGTGCCTTCGGCCAGCCGGCAATTCGGAGACAGCCCTTTTAGAATAACTTCGTCTTTATAAACAGAAATTGGGTTTGTCAGGGCTGCTTCTTGCAGCTTCTTGGGCATGCAGAGGAGAGAGAGGCTGAAGGAAGCCTGGGTGGGACTGAATGTGTTTCTGTGGAGGGAGTGTGCACAGAAAGCCCACGCTGAACTCGGCTCCCTCCTCGCTGCTCGTTGTACAGACAAAGTGCAGTAAGTTTTGTGCCGGTCATTTGTGGGGAAGTTAATTCTGCTGCAAGGAGGAGTGTTACACACTGAGTAAACAGCTCAGCCCAGCTCTAGTAAGATGGTTGCAGCCTGCCCCCTCTTGCACTGGTGTCAGTGGGGTGGCCGGACAAGCTGGCCCGTCAAAGGGTTCCTCTCCGTGGTCTTTTGGTTTGTGTGCCTGTCCAAGAGCACCGGAGCATGGACCAGCCTGTTAGGGGCAGCCGGGAGGTGCATCTCGCACTCGCTGTCCGTCTGGGCGGAAAACAGAGGCAGGAGGGAGCTGCGGGGCTGCCACACGTGGCCCA